ACTATTGCTGGTGTTGTACTCATACCACCTTATAATGCAAAATAAATTGTATAAAAAGGTAGAAATATTGGAAGATCAAAGACATTAGTGTATTGAATGTGACAGGAGATACACTATGTGAGTATCAATCAAGGAATCATTTAACATTAATCTTACTGTTTGAGGTCATTCATTGATAAACCTGTTACAAGTGAAGCACATGTAAAAATTAAGTTAGTCACTGATGACAATGTTGTGCTTTTCATCATTTTCATCAGAAAAGTCATTAATCTTGCTACAAAAATTTATACTTTTTTAGTATGATTTCAGAAACAACTTTCTTGGCTATGCTATAGATGTGCTGTAGCTGTAATAATTTATGAGTCATTACAAATATAATTTTTTTTAAGAAACACAACTGGCTGGCTAAAAAAAAAGAAATTTTATTCACTTGCTTACTACAACATCTACACATTCCTTATAAATGCAGCAGTCATATCTCTAGTAGACAACTGCAGATGGCCATTCAGTAACAGGATACTGTGTCACTTCATTTGAGGTAAAGAAAATTCTCAGTCTAAACTTATGGATTTTCTTTTCAATTACACGCATGCACTCTCACTTAAATACCTATAGATTATTCTTTCACTTTCTTTGCTTATCGAAGAAGTGTTTTATTTACTTGAATTGTATGATTTTAAATAAGAAACTTCATTCCAGAAAAGACTTTTGTATAAAAGGAACTGTTATTTATATCCCTTTGTGTTTACTCATTGCTGATATTAATTTTATACATTTAGAGTTGAATCATATTTTTCATTGCATCATTTAACTTCTGTAAATATTTTCACTGAATGTTTTTAAATATTTTCTATATTCAACTTGTTTTTCATATGTCTTTCTGTGGAGCTTGTAGCCGTGGTTAAATGCAAATTAAATAACAGAACTGTCCAACAAACTTAACAAAGTTTGTAATAATCAAAAATAAGAAAAGGAAAACATAAAGCAAGCAAAAAAATATATGCAAGGTAAATTAATGGTAATAAGACAAAGCAACAGTTATATGGCAAAAAGATTACAAACTAAGAATTGGGGCTGACACGTAAAAGCAAGTTCAGACAAGTGAACATAGCATTCTGACTTCAAGACAAGACAGACAAGGACTGAGTCAAATAAAACTGAGAACTGGCCTATTTTATTTGTGAGGAAAAAATCCCAGTATGCATTTGTGTGCTTTTGCCTATAAATTGGGGAGAGGGAAGTGTTTTTCAGTCATTTCTAGCAGGATTGAAACCAACACTTTTGCATTAATTTGAGAGTTTGTATGATTTTATCAAAAGTTGTTTTATTGATAAATGCAAGAAAATCCTTTTACATTGTCTCATTGTGTGACTCTTTTGTGAGCCATATTGTTTCAAAGAAATTTTATCTGCTTTCACCAACATAAGTTTCAACCTTCAGTGGTTTCTTCTTTCATATCTGAGGCCATTTTTGTCTCAGAAAATTTAAAGAATCAACTGGTCAGCATTTTTCATAGTTGTCAGATATTGACCAATTTAGTCACACCCCTCATGCATTTCAACAGTAAAAATATGACTAATATTGTATTGAGAATGAATGCATGCTCAACAATCCAGTGTACCGAATTTTAACAGTTCAATGTACAACCAGAGATCATGAGTTCTTGCCTGAAAATATCTCTTACCACCTAACCTGGACTAAATCAAATGTTAGGATCAACTGGAGATGGTATATTTGCAATATCTGATAAATACATATTTTAACTACAAGGATTTAATTTGTATTACATAAAATGTATAACAAAGATAAAAATATAACAAATAATCTAATATCAAGTTACAGATATAATAAGTGACAAAGACAAAATATTTGGTAGTGAAAAACAAGATCCAAAAGGAAATTGTTTCTCTAACTGCAAATTAGATTAATGGAACTTAATTCAATGTCCCATTAGACTATTTTGAAAATATTTTTTACCAAAGACTTTAGTCAGTATTTCTGATATAAAGTTAAGACATATAGTCTAGAAGTATTTTTTTTTTTAAATCTTTAGAAGTCTACTATAGAATTGATATTTTCCAAGAACTATTTTTGATAGTATCATTATATTATTTAACAATTTGATAAAAATGGCAACATTTAATATAATTTGTGTCAAAAAAGAGATACTTGGCTCTTAGGGGAGGAATTTCAAATCTAAAGGAAGAAAGTTTTGTCATAATTCGGGAAATTTTTCAAACTTATATATAAATCATAAGTATAATAGTAAAAAAAACAATGACGAGATTATTTGTTTAATATATCCTCCTCATATTACAGGGTAAATAAAGAGATAGTATTAAAATAATTTGTAATATATTTCTGTAGTGAAATAATTTCCAATGAATTCTATATATACTTTTAGTATTTATTGTATCACTAGAGTAGCAATTCTCAAACAGTATGTACTTAGATAGTGAGGTAGGAATTTCAAATCTACTGAGAGGAATTTTAGCCAGGTGAGGAATTTCAGTTTAGCATTTTAAACTTAAAATATGTTTCCATTTCAATCGATGTCAATATCAAAATTCTCTATAGTAACCATTTTTAATCCATGTGGAAGTTTTATATTTTCCAGACTTTTTAAAAAAATCTGGTTCATTTTTCTTAAAGTTTTTTATTTTTTTTGTTAATGAAAGACAGTGAGAGGGAAATAAATTATCTCTATTCTCTATGTTAATTTTAATATTTCAATTTTCTTCCAGCAAGCACATGGCCACCTTACCAAAAAGTCTTCCAACTCACGCCTTCTGATGAAAAAGAGATTTTGCGACGTCTTGAGCTAAAATTGAGAGATGTGGTAAGATTCTTTCAAGGAGAAATTTCTGGAAAAACCAAACACATTAAAATGTTTAGTCATTGTAATTGATACAAATGATAATGGTTTCTGTTAAGGAATGAGATGTGTGTGTTATATTTTATTTTTTATAATTTTTTTTTTTAAGATGAGTAAGGTGTTGTACAAGTTGTTATAACAAGTGTCTGGTTGTGAGAGGAAATGAATAATAAAGATTATGTTTTTAAACAATTTATATTCATTTAATATACAAGATATATTACAGTTGTTGGAAAATTGGAGGAAATGTCGATTTCAGTTGCTGATTGTTAAGAAGGCAATTAAGTATAGTACCAGGAGTTGACCAGTTTCTTATTTGGTTTGACTGAGGTTAAAGGACATAGTTGTTGGTTGGGTCTGATGTATGTGTTCATTGATTGAGAGTTGGGTGAGATTAGTCAAGCCTGGGAGTGGTAACAGTTGTGTTTAGAGGAGTGGTCATGCTGGTGATGGCAGCAGCACCCTGTGTGTCAGCAGGTTGCCTTATGGATCACAACTGCTTTGTTTGTTGCGCGAGGCCTGCTTTTAAGTAGATCTGGAAGTCCTCTAGGTCATTTCCTTTTCCAGTGGGAACATTTGTAATTGGCCACTATATTGCTTTCATTGGGAGGAGGGGGACATGATTTGTGGACTGGATGTGATGCTTGGAGCCTGTGTGCAGAAAATAACATTTTCTTATTTTATTTGTATAACAAGATCCTGACCCACCCTCCATGATTCAGGAGTCAGGTTGAATTTGTGACGGTGAATGATGCAAGAAATGCCATTCTTGTGCTTTACTGTAGTGAGTTTGATCCTCAGTGGGTACCCCACACTTGTAAATCTGTGTTGTCAAACTTAGTAAATTTTATGACACTAACAAGTTGGAGGCTATAAATTTTAATTCCTATTATTATTGACAATGAAAACTACAAAAAGACAAAAGGTAGGGACCACATATGTGCTATTATATTCTTTTGAAAGTGTCAGTGTCATCTTTGACCCAAGATCCAAGATAAATTTACACTTGTCAAGATTTTTAAAATAAACAAAAGATTGTCATTAATTTATGTGGTATGACCCACTTACCTCATTAATGGATCAGTACTGAACACATATAGTCAGGAGAACTCTTCTGCTATGCTGAGTTCATTAAAGCTTACTGTTAAGCAAATTTGTATTGTTTCAAACAATTCTACTACAATTTTATACAAGTGAAAGTGACAGGAACTCCATAAATACAGGGTTTCATCATGAAATGTTTGACTTTTTTCATCTACCAGCAGCTGAGTTATGATACTGTATGCAGAAGGAGTGTCAATGTATTTCAGTATGTATGTTAAAGAACAGAAATATAGCATATTGTCATGAGAAGAGAATTTAGGAAGTTCTGAATTTTGATATATTACAACTATAAATAAATGGAGAGATAATTACTGCTAATTCCTCCTACATTTTATCTTTATCTGTAAAAATTAATTTTTACTAAATACTGTCTCCCTCCTCTTTTTTTTGTATCCTTGTTTTCAGTAAAATTCACCACAGAAATGAAAAAATCTGAAAACAGAGATAGGTATTAAATTCACTGCAGCTTATGCAGAGATCAAGAATTCCATGAAGTCTATTGATGATCACATTGGTAAATTGTGACTGATAGAAAAAGATCTGTTATTCTTGTAATTGTTTACACTGACAGGCTTCTTTAAACTGATAAAAGTTTGTCACACCTCACTCACAAAGTTTCTTGCCTTCTACGCATGCAACTAGTAAGACTGGAATGACAACTGCTCACCTTTATTGTTCAGTTATATAAAAAACAATAGTTTCCATATTATTGATTGGTTTGTTTTTTATGGCTTATCAACCTTTTTGTAGGTTATTTAAAACCAAAATATTTTATTTTGTAACAATAATTCTTTTGTTTTTTTTGTGAGTGAATATTGTATGAACCATTTTTTTTTTTGAGATAATGTTCAGATACAAGTCTTAACATTTAACCCATAGATGGAGGGAGAAGAGATGGATTCATACCTTTCCCAAGTGTATTTGCACTTAAGTGAATGTAATGAACCCTACTGGTATTTAAACTTGTCTCTTCAACTTCTCATTCTGAATGATAATCCATTACACCACCTGCACCTCCAAGCTTACAGCACCTGACATTCCTAAGTAGTCACCCATCTCGGTACTGACCATGCTTAATGTTGCTTAACTTTGCTGATCAGATGAGAACTGGCTTTTCAACATGTTTATTTGGTCCAGGATATATATATATATATATATTAAACCATAAAATATATATATATATATATAAAATGACCTCATATAGGGTATAGACCTATTTCAACTAACAAAAACTTTGTCAACAGTCTTATTCAACCCTGGTATACAAACTGAGTTTGTGTCAGAATTAGAAATTTAACTGTGACAGCATTCAAAAAATTGATACAGGATTTATCCATTTCAATGTTTCAGTCAGACAAAAGGCACAAACAAGTGGTCAGAGGAGAGTGGAAGGTATTAGCTTTTAAGGGAAGAGCTTTTATAAAATTAAACCCGGATATTAACCCTCTAACATTAAATTGGGGTTATATGAAGAATGGAGTGTTAATTTGAAACTAAGAGAAGAGCGAAAAGTTTTTTTTTTTAAATAAAATTATACTTAAAATCACTCTTCCAAAAATAAATTTATACATAAAAGTAAAATATATTTTATAAATTAAAAATAAGTTATATTTAGAAAATTTATATTAAAATTAAGTAAGATTGTATTTAAAAAAATTTATAATTAAAAAAAAACAAACTAATTTTTTCCTTATTAGAATTTAAAGTGCGTACTTGCCAAAGTTTTCTTTATTCTACATGTGTGCCCTGAAGTAATAAAGGTTGAGAAACACTGTTCTAGCAACTTAGTTACATATAGTTGTCTAATATCAATACATTTGGTAAATGCACTTATTTTAAAACTCCAAACTAATATCTACATAAATGCACATCAAAAAGGAAAATCTCAGTAAAGCTGAGCTAAATGAAGAACAGGGAATTGCCAGAAGAAGGAAATTACTGGAAAGTAATTGAAACTCACCTGAAGCGAGCTGAATCTATAATGCTCCTCATGCCAATGACACTTCCACCAAGCTTCTCTACGGCATATGATTTCACTGAATTTTGATGTGTTCCTCTCGAATTTTAAACTGGGGTCATCAGGAGAGAATGTGCACCGTTTGGGGCCTTCCTCTCAACGGTTTCAGTTGCACACCGGCCCCCCTCACTGATGTGAGGCCCCATTATAACGATATACAAGTGTTGTAGATAAACTAGTTCAAATGTGTAACGGCGAAATTAAATTTACGAAAATTCCAAAACGGCAAACCTCGCGTTCTGAGAATGCAACGTGAACCTCATTACGCATTCACGATCAGACATGTCATGCCATCATGTTCGCTGAAACACTCCACGGAGTATTTCGTTTTTCCATATCCACATAGAACTATTTTCTGTTACTTCTATTAGGCGTTTTATACTCTTGGCCCTATTACGCCCTTTTGATTCCAATTTGGCCCAGAAATTTGTACAGAGTGCCTGAAACGAAACCCCTTGCTCCAATTTCCACTGCTCTAACAATTGCATTATACCCCTCCTTTATTAGCTCTGACTTTAGATCTTCATATTTATTAGTTTTATAATCGTGTGGCTTTGTTCCATCCGGCATTCATATGGTACTGTTAACTCAACCAGGATGATTTTATGGTTCACTCTTGACAGAAGAACAATATCTGGTCGCAGACCTTTACTTGATATTATTTTGGGGTAATCATTATGCCAACCAGGAAGGTCTGCAGATACCTCCCAGATGCCACTAGAACTAAGGAGATTTTTTCCGGGTATAGCATGACAGTTGCTTGTTTGCTTAGAGCCGACATATCTTTTTCCTTCTGCAACAAATTCCTGGGCTGAATTTGATGACTCAGACTTCATATATTTCTTTATGATTCTGACCAGCTCATCCAAAACACTATTGTGCCTCCATGTATATCTGCCATTGACAAGGGCTGTTTTACAGGAACTAAGAACATGTTCTAATGTTTGTGGCTTTTCCTCACACAGGGACAAGTGGGATCACTCTCTTTCTTCCATTTAACAAGATTGTTCTTAGATGGTAGCAGGTCATACGTGGAACGTATTAAATAACTCAACCTAAGTGGAGCCATCTGCCAAATGTCCTTCCACATAATAGATTTCTGAAGAGCCTCCTCCCCAGTTTGTCCATTGGCCTTGTTGGGATTGTTGTACTCCTTTTACCAGTCTTTTTTTCTTCTTCTTTCATCACATTTTGGATGACCATGTCACGGCGATCTTTACCAGAAGATTTCGACCACCATTGCCTTTCATTTAGTCCTAACCCTTGTTTCCCTGCTTGAGTGTATCTGATGACTTCATTGAAAGCTAGATTGTCTTTAGCACTTGTTATCGTCTCTCTGACCTTCCACTTTCTCCCCTGTTTTTAACGTAGGCTTTAAAGCTTTTATTGCTTTGTCCTTGGAATCATCCAACATCATTTGAAGTCTAATTTTTCCGGATTTATACTCTTCCACAATCGATTTAAATGGCAACTTTAGCTTTGCTTGTCTGCAGTACAATGCGATATCAGACAAACCTGGAGGCAAACCCAACCATTTTCGGATATATTTGTTCATTTTCCTTTCCATTGACTCAATTGTACTCATTCCAAATTCGTACACAGTATGGGCCATAGTAGCTTTGGAATGAGCACATGCTCTAAGCACCATACCTTGTATTTTCCTTTTTAGAGGACAAAGATCTATCTTATGGAGATCTTCTTGTAATGACCTGGATGTTTCTTTTTACTTGATTGGTATCTTTTAAGGATTGATCGTTATAACGACCTAAACTTTTCACTGGTTTTTCTGATACAGTAGGGATTCTTTGGCGACCTACTACAAAATTTGTGTTTTTTATTCAACTTACCTTTTCTAAGAGAAAGACTTCTGGACTTGTTTGGTTTAAATTTCATCCTACACCAACTTATCAGGTCGTCTATCAAGCTTAATATCTTGCGAGTTGAACTTACTTTGGATGAGAGGATTGTAGTGTCATCCATGAACGCTTTCACTGGTTGCATTTGACAACCTCTACCAAGCTCAACAACATCAGCCTTGTTGTTTGTCGCTTTGAGAATCAGTTCCATTGCTAGAACGAAAAGTATTGGTGACACTGTACATCCCATCGCAATTCCAACTTCAAGTCTGTTCCACTTAGTCGTAAAGTCTTTTGTAGTGAAACGCATGAGGAAACCATCAAAATAACTTCCTAGCATAATAGCTATTTCCTCAGGAATATGGTACATTTGTAATGATAATTGTATCATTTGGTGAGGTACTGATCCGTAGGCATTAGCTAAATCCAACCAAATGACATCCAAATCTTTTCTTTTAATTTTTGCTTTTTGATGGCCTCCCAGATCATGTTTCCATGCTCTAAGCAACCAGCTATTCCTGGAACACCACCTTTCTGTACTGACGTATCGATATACTCATTATCGAGAAGGTATTTGGTCAACCTCGATGCCAAAACTGCGAAAAAATATTTTTCCTTCTACATTGAGAAGCGAAATTGGCCGAAATTGACTAATGTCCCTGGAATTCTTTTCTTTGGGTATGTACACCTTCCGCTATCATCCACTGTTGGCTGATATGGTAATTTTCCATGCTAATTTTTTTAAGTTAGTATGCAACCATTTAAGAAGAGTGGGACATTTTTGTACAGAAGGAAAGGTATTCCGTTAGGGCCAGGTGCAGATTTATTTCTACTTTTGTCGACTATCGTTTTATTTCTTCGCGTGTGGGTGGTTTCATATCAAACTTCACTTTAGGAACGGCTGGCCAAAATAAGTTGCTATTATGATCTAGAGGAATATGTCGTTTAGGATCAGAGTACATACCTCTTAAATGTTCCGCTAGAACATTTTCCTCTATTTTGGGTACACCTGATCTTGGTTGATCAAATATATTCCTCGCATATTTGTACGGTTCCTGGAAGAAACGCTCCTGGTCTTTCCTTCGTTTCACTCGTCTCTTTCTCAAATTTTCAGCTCTGCTAAGAGCGTTGTGTTTCTCTTTAAGGTCCTGCCATATTTTAAGCAAGCCTTCTTTCTCGTCAAAATTTGCAAAACGGATTTGTCGTTTTAGATTTCTTTTTTGTTTCTCAAATCTTGCATTAACCGTTGACGCCTGTTCTTTTTGGGTGGTGGCTTATCATTTTTCCTCCTTCACGCCGTAGATTTCCTTACAAACTCTGTAGATTATTTTACTACTTTCGTTCAAACGTTCGTGATATTTCTTTCTTCCCAGCTCTTTATGTAATGTCTTGCTAATGATGTTGTCTAGCATACACCACGCTTCCGAGTTCGATGCTGGTGGAAATTTGATTCTTGGCAGTTTGGGTTGCATCCCATCCTTTGATTCAATTAGCTTGGATATCCTCAGCACTGTGGTATGCATCCTGGCATTGGTTTTCCGACGTCTTATTTGTGTTGACAGAGCGCTGCTCCTGAACCGTTTTCAGAGAAGCACAACCCATTTTTGTAAGGTGAATCTTCGCTCCCTTTTGGGACCTGAATTTCCGACCGCAAACACATGGGAAGTCCGTGCACTTTTCTAAATTCATGGTTTGTTTTTGTTCGGGTTCGTTGCCGATTATTCCGTTTGGATTCATCATCCTCCCTCCCTTTCGGTGAATCCTGAGGGCATTTCCTTTTAAATCCTTTTTAGCGTTACTTTAATGAACTCTGGGTTGCTGACCCGGTGAGATCATCTGGTCTTTCCCAGCGTCCCCTGTCTTTCCAGGTGTCTGTTAGTCTGTTCCTAACCGCCATTCAGTCTATTCCTGAAAGCCAACGGACTAGCCATGAGTTTGAAGAAGGAAATTACTGGAAAGTAATTGAAACTCACCTGAAGCGAGCCAGTATAATACCCTGTTTAGAAAACTTTCAATAAAAAAGATCTTGAGAGGAGATGGGTGCCGCTTAACTATAATAATCTAATATCTATGTAAATGCACATCAAAGGGGAAAATATCAGTAAAGCTAAATGAAGAACAGGGAATTGCCAGTATACCCTGTTTAGAAAACTTACAATAAAAAAGATCTTGAGAGGAGATGGGTGCCACCTAATAATGTGCAATCATCCAGTGATAGTCAACTTAAGTACTATTAATTCTATTT